CTGGCGCTTCTTGTCCTTCCAGGTCACAGGGAGCCACTGTGGGCTACAAGTCGTCAGCTCCACCAAGAGGGAGCCTTGGGTAAGAGTGGGTGCCCAGTGAGGGGGACAGGCCCGTAGGCGGGGACAGAGCTCTGCCTGTCCTTGTCAGGAAGTGCCCTCTGCTGGCCCTCGCTCCAGTGCCAGCAGTGTGCTGTGCAGTGGTGATTGGTGGAACATGGCCGTGTCCCCCAGATGCCACCGTTACCTGTCTTTCAGAAGTGTCTGCTTGCCTGATTGGGTCCTCGTGTGAGGGACAAGCAGCTCTGATCAGCATCTGGGGTTAGGCAGACAACGGGCCTGAACTGATGGTCCTGGGTGATGATGGCAGGAAGATAGCCCCTGAGGCATGTTGACCAGCCACTACAGCTGGGACAGTCCCGGCTGCACCAAGGGAACGCAGGCCATGTGGAGTCCAGGGCCACCTAGAGCCAGCAGTGAAGCCTATAAAGTACTGTGTGCCATGTGACCCTCCCACAGACCCTGGGGGCAGGCTTGTCACCTTTATTTTACATATGAGGAAACTGAGGCAGAGAGGGGAACAGCAAGCTTTCAGTCACTCTGGGAGTCAATGTGGGACCAGGTCTCTAGACCCTAAAAGCAGGGCCTGGTGATGGGCTGCTGGGGGCAGAAGGGGGCTGGGTGTGGGCCTGTGCACGCCCTCTGTGGGGATGTCAGAAGGTGCCTTATGGCGGCTGCTCCCCAGGGCCGGGTAGGTAACCACAGGAAAGTAGGGGTGGCCCGGCAGAGCACGACGCTGAACTCCCCCTTCTCCCCCACCAGTGGTGGACAAAGCTTTAGTGTCCCCGGTGATAGGCCCAGGGAACAGGCCCTGGCCCCAGCAGGTTGGCTCACCCGTGGGAGATGCAGATCCTGGTGGGATGGGCTCCCAATTCTGTGCGCTGCCCTCTGCCAGCGTCACTGAGTGGGAACTGTGTCACAGCACCACGGGCAGCCTACTCCACCGTGGTTCCCACCTGACACCCTCCTCCAGCAGCCCACCCACTATGCCGCCTCCACTGGACTGCCTGCACTGTCACTCAGCTCGCTGAGTCGAGCGCCCAGATGATGGGTCCCAGCAGAGCCTCTGCCCCAGGACCCCCAGGTCCCCAGCTCTCCCTGCAGGTAACTGTGGGCAGCATGAAATGCCCAGGGCATGGGTTATACAGACAGGATGCCTCTGCCAGGGCGGTTTCCTCAACCAGCTTCACTCCTGCTTTCAACCGACTGCCATCTCGTCACTTCCATAGTAGGAAGTGATGGTACCTGTGAGGAGGAAGGCCACGGTCACTCTACCTCAGCCCACACCTGGGACAGTGGAGGGTGACCACTGCAGCTGGGCAACCTGGATGCGTCCCTGGGTTAGGAGCAGGGGATGGTTGGTGGAGAGGCCCCCTTAGTGGGCAGCTCTCTTTTCCCAGATGAGTGTCACTATGCCCATCTTATGAGATACGCTGTCTGAGGTCAAGGACCTCAGCTGCCCAGACGCCTGAGGGAAGGCAGGTGTGAGTGTCACCTGTGCTTCCTGCCTGGGCCCCGTTCTTCAGTGTCAATGCTCAGTGTAACCCTGCAGTGGTCCCCTTATCCTTATTCACCACCAGCAGAAGGGGAGTGCGGAGGGCCTGTGTGACTCACTGGGACGCTGCTAGAGGACCATAGCCAGGGTTTGGACCCAGTGCTGTTGAACTGCAGGGACTCACTCTGTCCCCTACACCACACTGCTACACACTGGGGACTGAGCTGTCCCCGTGCAGCCTCATCTATCTGGGCTTTCCGACGAGCAGTGCTGGAGAACTCCTGAGGGCAAAGCCAGGGGCCCGGAGCTGTCAGACGTCACTGCTGAAGTAGAGAGCAGACAGGTGGGAAGCACGCCTGGCTAAGGCGAGCCGGCTCCAGAACCTACTTGACCCAGCTGTGCTGCCTCCATGTGCAGGACCCCCTTTTCTGGGCGCCTGCTCCTGCTTCTGAGGCATCACTATGCTAAGGCTGCAATGGGGTCACCTAAGTGAGGACCCCCGGAGGCCTTCCTCATGGAGCTTCTCCATCTCCACCCGTCCCCACAGATAGCCCCCGGGGGCAGCCATGGAGCAAGAATGGGCCCACGGGGACCCTGCCTCTTGCCTCCTGTGCTGCAGCAGAGCTGACAACTCGGTTCTCTGCACAGCAGAGCGGCCACCGGGCTGTGGCCGAGGGCTCAGCCACTGGGGACCACTGCATGCTGGAGTGGGGGTTCCCAGCAAAGGGGGCATTTTGGAGATTTGCAGGAGCTTCTTTGTCTTTAAGTGGAATCACTCCTAAGAATTTATGTGGAAATCCATATTATTTTAGTATAAATTGCTTTTTTATTTCACTGGTGTTATAGGATATTGTATTGATATTTTAAATTATAGAGACAATAATTATATTATCCATGAGTTTCAATTCAGGGGAGAAAAGGGGAAATTAAAATATTTGTATTTGAGGTGGAGCCAACGGGGCCAAGAGCACAGGCTGTAAGCCCGGAGTCTGGGCTTCTGCTCAGCCGCTTGCTGGCTGCACTGGTGACTGGCATCTCCAGCCCCTCCGGCTGACCTGTGTGATGGCCTGTCCCCACTCTGGGGATGCTGTAGCACGAGGGGCCCCTGCCCCCCCTTTGCACCTTGTGCTGCCTGAGCCCCTCTGAGCTGGGACAGCTGTCATGAGGGGCTGGCTGGGCTGGGGCTCAGTGTGTGAGGGTGCCTGTCATTATGCGGGCATTCTGGGGGCTCGAGGTTTAGGGGTCCCTCTCGTGGGTTCGCTGTAGCAGGTGGTTCCAGGCTCAGTGTTCACTGGGCTACTTTCCATCCCAACCAGAAGAGCTGCGGGTTCTCTGGGGATGAGGGCATTCTGGTGCCTTTACACCCCTGGCTGGGCGTCACCGTGTGAGCTCCACAAAGATCCCATGACCAGCTCTTTGCTCCTGATGGGCTGCGGGCAGGGGGGTGGGGGTGGGAACACAGCTTACCCTGGGAGGTGTCCCTGACCTTTGAGCCACTTGGAAATGTCACAGATTCTCTGAGCTGCATCATTTCATGTGAAATTTTATTTCAGCACATTTCTTTTTAAAAATAGTAATCTGTGCACACTTGTGATAACAGTGGTGCCTGGTTGGCACAGGTGTCCCCATTCCAGGTCACTAGGATGACAGTAAATGTGACAGCCTAGACATCTTGGAACTTGATGCATTAAAATGTGTAGGTCAACCTTGTGATTTGAAACGTGATGGTTACTTCCGTAGGAACTGCTCTGTGGTATTAAGCCCTGGCCCATCCTCGTTCTCGTGTCCGTTAGTGTCACCTGGCATTAAATGGAGGATTAGAATGAGTGTATCTGCATGTGAAATGACAAAGCAAACCCTCAAAGGACCGTGGCATGCCTCACTGGCTGCATTTTCTATGGATAAACAAGGGACAGCAGGCCGTGCTCCAAGTGCTCATTTTTCACGTCACCTCAGGCGTGTCCAGGACTGGCACTGCTATGGCCCTCCCTTCTTCCTGGGCTGGCTTTGGGCCTCGACTCTGCAGGGCAGGCTGTCCAGGCAAGTACCAGGACTGTCGCCAGTGTCCTAAGAAGACAGACAGCATTGTATTGGGAAAACCGCTCAGACCCTACGGCCCGCGTTCCTGGAAGGGTGCTGAAATATGTACGGTAGCCAAATCTGCAAAAATCAACCCTTAGACTTCCCTCCTGGGGTAGAGACTACAGAAAGGGCTTGTGGACAAAGCCTGAGGAGGAGGAGGAAGGGGGTGGGGGACAGGGGCCTTCCCCGCTTTCCTTCTGCCTCTTCTCCTTAAACCTCCTTCCTCAGGCCCCACCGCTCTCCCAGCATCAGTTCCCTTAGTCTCTCTCCCATGAGCCTTCTTCAGGATTGTCACTTTGACATTTGTGACTCTGTGTTCCCACTAGACTCGGCTCCATGGGGTCAGGTCATTTGGCTTACCGTGGTATCTCTGGCCATCTAGTGTCCTGCTTTATCGAGTGATCTGTGTCACCCGATTTATTACCCTAGGTGGGATTGTGGTACTGCAAGGGACAGGATGGGGCAGAACCCCCTTGCAGAACCTGGGGGAGTGGGGGAAGGCTGTCAAGCTTTGGGCCGGAAACATCCTGTGGGCCCAGGCAGGGTGGCAGATATCCTGCTGGGGGCTGTTTGTTGCAGCTTTTGAAAATTCCGAGGCTGTGGAGGACACTGAAGGTCACACCCCAGCTGCAGGAGGACTGCTGTTTGGGCCTGCGAAGAAGAGTGAGGGCATGGCTTCAGAAGGAGTGGGCTGCCTTCCACCTCCTTGTCCCTCTCCCCTGGCTGGCATGATGGTGGATGGTAGCCGGCTGGGCAGCATGCGCTCTGGGCCGCCTTTTGTGTACTGCAGATGGGGGTGCACCTCCATTACAGCAGCTGACACCTGTCCTGAGCAGTCGGTGAGTTAGGGGACAGGCCCTGGGGGGGTGACCTGGCGGTGTGAGAACGAGCAGGCGCCTCATTCAGTTGAGTGACAGGACTTTGGGGGCAACAGTCCTAACACAGAAGCCTGCTTCAGCCTCCACTGGTCTGGACATTTCATGTCTCCAACTCCCACTTCCGGATTTTCATCTCGGGGCACTTGGTGGTGTCCCCGGTACGGGAGTCCCAGGGGAGGAAAGGGCTGGTCATGGGGGTGTCTGCGTTTTGGTTGTGGTGACAGTCTTACTACTTCACCCATTGAAAGTCGGTCTGTTCCCATCACGGGCGCACAGATGTTTCACGAACCTCGTCATTACAAGCCTGACCCACAGACAGTCAGTGACAAAGCCCGGCTCCCGGGGAGGCTGATGGTCAGACCCTGGTCAAGGTGAGCGCCTAGGGAGATGGATGAGGCCTCTGCAGTAGCCTATCGGTGCATCCCCAGACAAACCCCAAATTCTCTAGGCCAAGCCATCATCACGGTTTAACAAATAAGATAAACAAATAAGCAGGAATAAACAAAATTTAATCATCTTTTTTTGGTTAATATTTAAATATGAAAAAAACTAAAATGTCAAGTATGTTGACGAAAGTTTCTATCCATATTTATTTACATAACAATTTTGATCTTTCCTTTCCGAGGGCAGCCAGCTGCCCAGAGAGAAGGGACGGCAACCTGGAGTGTGGGGCTCGCACAGCCTTCTCAGGCCTGGGGTCCGGGGAAGAACTGAAGTGAAGACATGGCGCCCCCACACCACCTCTGCCCCCCAGCTTCCATTTGAAGCACCTCTGACAACAAATGCAAGGTTAGGTGCGGGTATGAGAAGCTAGACGTCCATTCCAATTCAGGGGTGCATTTTTTTAGAGGAGACCTGGCACAGGAAGGGCGTGAGTCACCCCTCACCACAGGGACATGGTGACGGAAGTCAAAGGTCAATGCCTGTCACCCATGAACTCTGAGCAAAGGCCGAGCGGTGCAAACTTATCTGTAAAATGAGGGGACTTGACAGGAAGCCTGGTGTGTCCATCCGCTAAGGCGGATGCAGGAAGGCAAGGCCACAGAACGGGCCAGCGCCCGGCCCACTGCGCACTCGGGCAAATCGCATTCAGCGTGAGGTTTCTGCTGCCTTGAACAAATAAGCTGGAGGCTTTCCTGTGGGACACCCTTGAGAGGGAGCCCGAGTGACTTCCCAAGTCCCAGGCCGGCTGGATGAGGGTGTGACTTGTCCCACGGAGGCTGAAATGCCTTCTTAAGAAGAGTGAAAGTTATGATTTGAGGCTTTGGAACCCCAGGGTCACCGGCAAGGCCTCATTTCTGCGGAACACAAAGAACTCCGTGTCCTCCACTTCCAGGAGCTCGTCAAGAGACGCCACCACCATGTCATGCTCCCGCAGCAGCTCCGGGTAGTGGGATGCGACTCGCTCGATCCTCGCCGAACGCCGGACAGGGGTGACCAGCTTCAGGTCCTGCACCTCAGGCATCCCGCTCACCCTGTGACAGTGAGAGGTGCATTTAGAACCCTGACTCCCCTGGCACCCCAGCCACTCCATAAGAGAGCGACAGACACCATGCAATGGACACTTGTCCCGAGGTGGCCTGGCTGTCAGAGGAGCCGGGTGTCCATCTGCTGGGATGGAATAAGCAGAGGGAGACACTGACTGAAGCGTAGAATGTGACTTTATGAAGCCAACTGCTCGGCAGCTGGTGCTTGTCTATTCCACAGACTTCCAAAAGCGTGGACAGCTTTTGAGGAAAGTGGGCCTAACACCAGGTGGGGTTGGGCGAATGAACGCTAAGGTTCCTTCTAGCCTGATAGTACATTACTGAAAAAACATATTTTAGGTGATGAACCAAACCACCACCTGGACACATTCCTTGTGAACGCTAATGTGTCCCAACAAAAAGGGGCCTGGAGAACAGGCTGCGGAGGCCGTTCCCACCGTGACTGGTCTGTACATGCAGGACCATCGACTGCATTGGCCAGAGCCAGGCCAGCGGCTGGCCTGCTACACACCCCACAAGCTGAGTGTGGAGGGGACACGGCATAGCTGACAGGAGCCTGGGGCTGGAGAGGCCCACTGTGCTTCCAGGTAAAGTATATGACAGTGGTCCTTGCTCGGAAGTCTCCTATGATGTCACATTAGTGCTTTAGGAAATGACACTGAAACCCTGACACGGTCCCTTCAATCACTACGGATTCTGCCTTAAACTTACGCTTGTTAAAAAGTGGTCTGTAAGCAGGACATACCCAACCGCCCTGTGTCCTTGTACCTGGGCCAGGCCTGCGGGAAAGGAAGGTGCGCCTACAGCGCAGGACACGTGCGAGTGAAGAGAAGGGACATGGCTGTGGGAGGGTGGCTTGCGCGCCGAGCAGCGCCCAGACCCCCGTGCATGGTTCCCAGTCTCCTCACACTCAGCACCGCCCCTCGTGCCAGGATGGGGCAAACCAGCTGGTCCCCCACAGGCAGGAGATGTCAGTACCTCGCTGGCACTCGGACTTGGGGGAGAAGCAGCTGGGCCTGTGCACACACAGCTGCTCACGTCCTCTTACCTGGGGATGGGGGCCACCTGTAATTTGATACCAGAATGACAGCCCTGCTCTGCCTTGGGTTTCTGGGGTGTTGCTAGAGCCTGCTCCCTCCCTTTTGGAGAAAGACAAGACTTTGCAGGCTCCATCTCGCCAGCCAGCTCCTGTATCGATGTCCTACTAGTTTCAGCAGCTGAAGACCCAGAGGTTGTTCCTGTGTGCGAGGTCAAGAAGGAAAGCACGATGTAGTGATTTAGCACTCAGCTAAAACCAATCAGATGAAGGCCCTGGAGCATGTGACCCCCACGGCCCCAGATACTAAACAAAGAGAAGCTGACTTGAAGGGGGACTTACAACCGGTTTGGCCGCTGAGCCCTGGAGCAGAGCCCGCTGCATCAGATCACATTCGTGGCCAGCCCCCAACCAGCCTCTGGCCTCCTCGCCACTGGGGACGGGTTCTTGACACCCTTTAGGCCCTCTGACCTTCTGCACCAGTGTCTTATGTATCCCTGACAGCTCTTATGGACCAATCGCTGGCCTACTAGGGATAACTCACTTGACCTGACCCCCTCTTGACCTAGGGAGGACCACACGGCTGCTGCCTTAGATAGTGGCTGAGAAAGGTCTTGTGTTAACACAACTTGCATGACAGCCCAAACACAACCAACACGAAAGAAGGAAATTCGACTGAGACAGGCAGATACTGTGGCTGGAGGCTGAGACCCTGCGAGAGGTCATGGGGGCCAATTGCATTGCGGCTGGGTTCCTGCCCCCTCTCGTCCCTTTGCAGAACTCCGCTGTGCATTATAAACAAACATCTGAACTGTAGCGTCACTGCCAGGAAGAGCCACTGAGCAAGTCTGCTCTGCAACCTCACCCCACGAGTGATGCGGTAGCAGCTTTCATTCCACATGACTTGACCATGTCCCCAGGTGAAATCTACTCTTAAAGGAAAAAGATCTGTCACCTGCTAAATTCATAAAAACCATCCATTTTATCTCCTGAAGGCAGCTTGTTTTCTATCCGTTATCAGCAAGTATAAAGTGCCACTACCTGTGTCTGCAGTGTCTGTCCCAGGAGGGTCCTCTGTGGGTTCTGACCAACCACAGAAGCAGTGGGCCAACAGCAGAGTCCTGCAACTGCTGCTTTCAAAGGGGGATTGTGAACTTGAGTGTGAAGGTGTGGTGGGCTGCTTATGACAAAATACGTGACTTGGGCCGATTCCTCCCTCTGCTGCTGAAGGGTGCTAGTATTGTCCCACCCAGGGCTCGGGGGCCAGCACACTCATCCAGGCTGCTCAGCATGGAGCAGCATATTTACTTGTAACGACAGAAAGGTCGGACCCTGGGAACCAAGAGCGACAGGCATTTCTGAGGACTTAATTCTTTTTTCCTGTGTGACCCCTGGTGACTTTTACTTTATGGCTACAGGGAGTGACTTAAATACAACATGGCAGTACCATCTGTGGCTCTCGTGGGGTCTTGCAAGATGTTAAGAACAACTTCCCGCAACTCTTGTATTGGCTAGGAGGAAGGAAGAAGAAACACAAACAGTATTAAAAACACTCCTGAGAAAAATGATCTAAGAAACTGTAACAGCAAATGAACTTCTTTTAATAATAAAACTGTTCCCTTTGTTAGCTCTTGTCTAACTATAAATCACATTTAAAATGTTTCAGATTTACAGCTTCATAGGAAAAATGAAAGAACAAAGAAAATGATGGTTAAATCCTGGCATGTTTGACTAAATGAAGAGTTGTGTTGATGGAAAGTTGTTATAATGAAATTTCTCTAAAACAAATTAATTTTCTTACTGACTTATATGATCCCATTGAAGATGTGTTCCCACATAGAGACTCTGGCCCAAAGATGTGAAGACAGCCACACAGAAACTGTGGCGTGCATTCTTAGGGTTGTCTTTGTTTATTTTGGTTTTTATCATAACAGACATATATCTCATTACAGAAAAACTGAACAGTAGGTCAAACTTAGAAATCACTCATAATCCCATCACCCGAATGCAACCTTTACTTTGCATTTTGGGCAATTTTCTCCCTTTCTTTCATCCTTTATTTGGCAATGCAACCTAAAAGTAATTTTCTAGAAAAGTAGTGGAGGGCGCCTTTCTTTTGCAAGGTATGTAGGCCAGGCCCTGAGGCAGGGCATCGTAAGTGAGCTATACTTTCTCATGGGAAGGCTGTACCTGGAGGCTGGTCTTCCGACCTGGGCTCCATCAAATAATAGGGACAAACTAACAACAGAGTATAGAAGCAAAGATAGCCACACATTTTCACAAAATCTAAAATGCTTTAAGTTTAAGGAACTGGGAATAAATGTACAGAACACATTGCAAAGAGACTGAATTGTATAAAGCATTCATCAGGTGTCTCATGTTTTTACAGGCTCTAATTAAAGAAGATGTCTGTGTGTGTGCACGCGTGTGTCTGTGTGTGTCTATGTCTGTCTGTGTGCCTGCGTGTCTGCCTGTCTGCATGTGTCTGTCTATGCATGCATGTCTGTGTGTGTCTGTGTGCATCTGTTTGTGTGTATCTGTGTGTCTGTCTCTGTGTGTCTGTGAGTGCCTGTGTGTGTCTGTGTATGTGCATGTGTCTGTGCGTGCCTGTGTGTGTGTCTGTGCACGTAAGTGTGTCTGTATCTTTGTGTGTCTATCTCTGAGTCTGTGCACGCATGTCTGTGCGTGTCTCTGTGTGTCTGCATGTCTGTTCTGTGCATGCCTGTGTGTGTGTCTGTGCGTGCATGTCTGTGTGTGTGTGTATGTTGGTGGTCTATGCGGGTGTGTGAAACAGGGTAAATCCTCATTCTGCATAGCTAGAAGCCCACAAATCATGTCTAAAACTGAAAAATCAAGAAATAGCAATAAAGCACATTATCTAAAACTACAGAGGTAAACACAAAACCCATCCGTCTGCTCTGAGGAGTGGGAAAGGGAAAGCGAAGGGAGCAGAGGCCTGGCTGAAAAAACCTTATCAGATCATCTGACTGTTTAAAACTATGAGCATGTACATGAAGCACTGCAAAAAGGTACTGCAGAATATATGATGCCATGGAAAGTGACATTTAAATGAAAAGAGCTATAAAACTATTTGACTCAGTCTGTTTAAAAAATTATATAGAGATACTTTTAGGATTAAGAGGTATTTATGGATATTGATATGCTGGGTGTGATATATTTTTAGGTTTTTATGGTGAGGTATGACTTTAGAAGTATGGACATTGATGTTATTATTTTCTACACTATTACTTTCTGTAAGTGCATGTTTCTACAATGAGTGTTAAGTGAGGTAGTCACTGGACCAGTGATTCTATTAGTTACACGTAACTACGTCCTACGGCATAAAGCGTTCACTAGGACACTGTACTGCACATTCTGTGTGTAACTGGACCCATCAGAATTTACGTTACATTGCATAACTGCCGCACTGCAAACAGAACTCACACAACAGCATTTTCATACTCACTGTTGCCCCATTTCTTATGGCCTCTTCGTACAGCCCGATGACATCAAAGGTGCCTTTACTTGCCAAGAACTTTGCTTTGCAGATCCAGAATTTAGCAAATTTTTCAGCCTCAGGAATACTGGACAGGATGGTGAATACTTCATTAGAAAGCACACCCTGCAAAAAACACCCAGAGGAAATGATTACTGTCTCACCGTTACTCATGTCTGCTATTGCTTTGTGACAGGTTTGCAGAAATCAGCTCGATCAGTAATTATTTTTAACTTGAAAAAATATTTCAATTTTACTTGTTTCCATACAATAAAATGCGCCCATTTAAATGGTACATTTCAATGAGTTTTGACAGTGATCATTAAAGTTACATGAGACCAAATAGACAGAAAAATGTCATAGCTGAAGGAAGCAGTATGTCCTTCATGTTTACATGTCCTCCACCCCGACTCACCCCAGAGTAATCAACATTCACAAAACTGTGAGCGCTGAATAGTGACAGAATTTTCACATGACCGACAGAAGCCTGAAGGACAGCATAGATATGCCAGGGTGATGTGTGTGTGTGTGTGTGTGTGTGTGTGTGTGTGTGTGTGTGTGTGTGTGTGTGTGT